AACAGCATAACACGTTTCGATTTTCTTTTTTTTTTGTCTTTTTATTTGCAATCATTTGAAAAATAATTATTTAGTAAATATTTAATCAATTGAAGTTGACTCGACCTCATGCAGCATTTTTTTTTTATAGAGTCATATACTAACACAAATATTGTTTTATTAAAAGAAAAAAAAGTAATTTACATACTTTAGAGTTTGACATCTTGCTATTATTTACATATGAAAAAAGATTAGATACTCTATATAAATTAACACATTTCCTATGTTTAAAAGGCATAACAATATGCATTCATTACTGTTCAGATTTATTTTTTAGAACACATTTTTTAATAAATCATAGATGGCAAATGTAGGTCAACATATTCCGAAGGACGGAGTACGGATAATGTTTTTTGCTGTATATACAGATAAGACAATATCCAGCAATTACAAAGAAATTCTAATCGTCACTATTTCAATAATGGGCAATCGGTAGTTATTTAGATTCAAAATAATATTCAAGCATATTACAAGACTGCATTTCATCTTGATTTCTTTTTTTAGTTAAATCTAATCAATTTAAAATAGCGTTGATATCACCGAGAATTTCGATGTTTATTCCATTTGCATAGGTATAAACTCGATTGTATTATTGTCAAATGAACTTGTCTTGAATTAAATTCGAGTGATAAACAACAATTGATATATATATATTTATTAGAACTTTTTGAAATTGAATTAATTTTTCTTAATTGATTTCTATACATATATAAAAGAACTTATAAAATGATTTTATTTTGAACTAATCGATCTACACTCTTATTGTTCAGTGTAACTTCAAGTTGAATCATTCAAAGACAAACTATTCCTTTTCCTTATCTTATCATACTCCTTATAAAGTATGATTCTTAATCTTTCTTATATAGTAATAAAAGTTCATTGAATAGAATAAGTCGTATGTCAATCGTAAAATTATTGAAAATGTTAATATAAATCTATCAATGATAAATATAAACAATTCAATATTTAAATAGTAATCATTTATGACATAAACTTATTCATATTGAAAATTTTGTTATTTGCATGACAAAAACAAATGATTCATCAAATGAAACGATCAATCCTATAGGAAAACAAAAAAGAAAAAAAAGTAGAATAATGATAAAGATTTTATTAACTATATCTAAATCAATTATGAATTTTTGATAAACAAAATAATATAACGAAAAAACATATTCAATAAATCAAAATAAACTAAACGCAATGATTTCAATTCTATAATAAAATGAAATCATTTTTTTGCAAAGAATATTTTGCCCTCAAATGTTGTCATATTTAATAATCACTGAATATCAATCGTAAATTCAACTTTTTGAAATCAATCATTAACTAAATATAAAATCTCTCATGAATCATTTTCTTTGATTTCAAGAATCTAAATATTTACAAATTTAAGGTTAAATACTCTTTTCATATTGTTTGGATATTTTAAAAATTTGAATCTACTTGACAAACAAAGAAAAATAATTGTTCATTATTTATTTAATAATAAGATGAAACAAAAAAAAGAAAACTCTATGAGAACCTTTTTATAATCGATAATTATTTGTATTAATCGAACTATTGAATAAAAAAATCTTTAAGGAAATGTTTCTGATCGATCGATATTGAATGATGTATGTTAAGAAATATATCGATGTAAAAAAGAAAGCTTCGTTTTTTTTTAAGGGATTTTTTCATTAAAAAAAAATTTTATTTTTAGTTTTCAATATGAGAAATAGTGTAAAACATGAAAAATATTTGAAATAAAAATATGGAAAATATTTTTGAAAAAATTTTTTAAAATAAAATTTTCTTTAAAATCCATGTTGTTCGTTCCTATTGACATTATTTCAATAAAAATGTTTGATTTTATATTTTAAATTAATTTAAATTTCATACGAAATGAAAGAGGAAATTTTGTTCTATCATTTTATATTAAATTTATTTGATTTTTAAAAAAATTTCTATAAAAATTTTTCAAATTATTCTAGAAATCTCCTTAATTCATTGATGTTTTTTCCACTTTTATCATAAAAAACATTATGAAAATAATTTAAAATATAAAATTTTTTTATATAATCTTATAGAAAAAATAGTTTTCTATCGAATGATATATTATATATAAAAAATTTCAAAAAAAATCTATAAAGAAAACTTAAATTATTCATATGGATTCGAATATATTTGAAAAAGAAAAAGGAAAAATTGAATATATCGTTGAGAACATTTACATAGACGAACGAAAGGAAAGAAAAAGGATGAAAACAAAGCACGACCCAAGTGAGAGTCGATACCATCGATGTATAAATAATCGTGCACAACTGTCATTAACTTCATATAACAACAAGCGCAAATAACAGCGTTCAGGTAAGTCGAATAAAAAAATATTTTCTTATTATTTAACTAATTCAATTTAAATAAATTAGAGTTTCATCTCGCTCACTCTTCATTTTACACAAACCAATTTTTCTTTATTAACCCAACAGTTCTCATCAGGTAACAAGTTAACGAAAGAAAAAATAGAAAAAAATAAAATTTTTTTTTTTTTTTGTTTAAATAGAACTTATCATCAAAAATGACCGAAGGTACAGTTGCTCAAGTTTCATCAGTTCAAAGTGTTCAAAATGCAAATGTTTCACCTAAAAAACAACAAAAAAAAACAACAACAACAAAAGGCAAATCAACACACGTTGCAACACATCCAAAATATTCGGAAATGATTAAAGCAGCATTAAAAGCTTTAAATGATCGTGGTGGAAGTTCACGTGCTGCTATACTTAAATTTGTTTTGGCTAATTATTCACTTGATCCAACACAAGCTAATCAACATCTTAAATTAGCACTTAAAAATGGTGTTAAAGCTAAATATTTTAAACAAACAAAAGGTAATGGTGCAAGTGGTTCATTTAAATTAGCAGCTAACGGTGAAGCTAAACCAACAAAAAAGAAATCAACTAAACCAAAAAAAACAACATCATCAAATACATCGGCAACAAAAAAACGTGCTCGTTCAAAATCAGCTGGAACGAAATCAGCTAAAAAGGTCGCTACAACTGCTGATACAAATACTTCAACTGTTGCTACAACAAATCCAACTGCTGCTAAACCAAAAACAGTTCGAGTTGCTAAACCAAAAACAAGTGCAACAGCTAGATCAGCTAATGCAGTTAAACCAAAACAAGCAGCACAAAGTAATTCTTAGATTTATTTTTGTTTTTTAATAATTTTTTTATTTTAGCAAAAACAAAAAAATCAACTGGAACTAGAACAGCTGGTGTAAAAAAGGCTACAACAGCTAAAAAAACTGCTCCATCAAAAGTTAAAAAGGCAACTACAACAAGAAAATCAACAACAGCAACAAAAAAACCAGTTGCTGCTAAAAAGGTATCAAAACCAAAAACAACCAAAAAAGCTCCAGCAAAAAAAGCAAACAAATAAATTATCAATTAAATTCAAAAACATTTATTACATGTAGTTTGTAGTTGTCTGATATTTTCTATATATATATATACATATATGTTATTATCAATGATATTCATTGGCATAAAAAAAAGAATTATTTTGCGACCATAGATTTGTGTGTGTGTGAGTGTGTCTATTGTTAAACATTGTAAAAAAAAAAAAAGTAAAAGATTTGTGTGTTGAGTGAGATAAAAAAAAGATGAGTAGTTTAGAGGATTTGTTTTTTCGAAATAAATAAACATTTAAACATTAAACATTTTATCTTTTTTTATTAAACTGAAATAATCTTGCGATATGAACGAGTTCGGAAAGAAAATATTCGAGTCGGAGGACATTTTGTTTACTTTGTTACATATGCGTAGATATTTGTTTTATGAATGTGTGCACTAAAATAGGCTCATATATAATAGATGTCTTGATCTATTTGATGATAAAGTTTGACTTTTCTGCCTGTTATTATTATAGAGTTAAAATTCAATTGAAAATTTTTGAATCATATTTAGGATAAGTGATGGAAAGATTCAATTAAAATTTATGAGTCAATGGTTTCAGGCGAGTTCAAAACTGATTTTTATTTTTCATCGATATCAATCACTCTCTCTATATAGGTGACTAAAAAAAAAAAGACTGAAAATTTCAACTATAGATTGACTCTTGTTTTGTTGTTGTTCATTCTTCCATCCGTCTTTTCTCAATAGAATAAAAATTTTCGTTTAGTTGAATAGAGCATGACTTTATATTCTATGGATTCGAAATGATTTCTACTCAATTAGAGAATTAAAAGAGAACAAAAATAATACTCGAAACTGACTTCATGTCTTCTCTATTAACCTTTCGATTTCAATAATTTTTTTTGCCTTTAGATACTACTTAATGTTCTTATAAAAAGCCTTAAATGATTTGGCATCTGAACTAAGCTATTTTTGGACCCTGACCCGGTGCATAAAATGTTTTTAGACCCGAGCCAGACCGATCAAAATTGTTGGATTCAAACTGAATTGGTTGATCTTTTGTGAGTAGAATCCATCGGGTAAAAAGAAATCAATAAGAATCCATAATCCTTTTAGGATATTGATTAGAACATTATATAATATTTATGGGTAGCTGAGGGTATTCCCTTGTGAGTCTCGAGTTCGGATCCTCAATTCTTTTTTCTTTCATAATTCGTTAGAATTCCTTAGTCTTAATATTTATCCTTTTATAAAATATTGGTGTGAACTTATCGACTAAATTTTAATAACGAAAAATCAAATAGAAAATGATTTTTTTTTCAAAGATTGTATCTTTTGAAAAATGCTCAATGAATGGCGGTGATTGCTGAGAAATGTTTGAAATATTTAAATTGCTGTCGACGCTATATAAAAAATAGATGTAGAGTTTTGAATTTTTTTTGGTCTCGAAGAATTGTTTTCTTGAATATTTGTTTTATCGAGACATCGAAGGACATTTTAAATATGAATAAATGAAAATTGATTTTCTATTTCGATTTATAATAACAGCTTGATTGTTTTAATATTTTATTTATCTTGATTATTTATCGTCAAAGATAAATCTTGTTCTTCATTTTTAATTTGTTTTGTTTTGTTGAATCGTTTTTTCGATGAATTAATATTATTAGAAAAAATTTGAAGTGGTATAGATGATGAAACTTGAACATCGAATAAAGTTTGACAAAGATTTAATTGATTATCATTTAAATTTGATTTCTATTCAAGAGAATTTTTTCATATAGAAATAAGAAATAAATAAAAATAATTTACTCGTTTTCGATGAATTCCATTAAAATATTTTTCAATCTAAACAATAAAAATAAATTTAAGAATTAAATATCGCTTTTTTTGTTTACTCTTGAATAATCAATTATTTGTAAATAAAATTTTAATTGTGAATTCGTTATTAAATTGTCAATTGAAACAAGAGACATAATTGAATCAATATCTATATATTGAATTAAAATACAAAAAATTAAAAAAGAAAAATTTTGCTTTTTTTTTTACCGTTTATATTTCGTGCAGTTACTCGACTATTTGGTTCACCAAATGGTTGTGTTGAAATTATTCGACAATCACTTTGTAAATCGTAAAAACGTAATTTTAAATTTTGATTTTTATCATTTGAAAATGATTTATTATTAACAAAAATTAGACTAAAATGAAACAAAAACAATTGATCAAAGTATTTATCAGAAATGTTAATGCTGATGGCGTCGCAGCAGCGGCAGATTCTCAGACGCGATGAACATCTATCATTTATAATTAGAACAAATTTACGTTTATCATACGAAGATATAAAGTGTTGATAGACTGTCGGAGTTTTCTTTTTAATCGGTTCTTGAATGATATTTGTTAATAGCTTATTCAATGATTCAAAGATCATATTTTCTAATTAACCATATTATATTGAATTATGTATGTCAATAGTCACGTTATTTTCCTTATTATAAAGTTGCTGAATTAGTATGAAATGTTATAAAACACAAAATTTGAAAAAAGAATTCAAAAGTTACAACGTGAATAAGAAAATACGATTGATAAAGCATAATGGATGATATATCGATCCCCATGGATGTTATTCTTTGTGTTCTCTGCGCTTCCGTGCCTCTAGTTCTCAGTTAAATCTTTGTCAATTTGATGATCTTCTATTGACTGTGATCGTCTCTACCGGTTATTGTTCTCTTTATCCAAATGTAGCTTTTTTTCCTGTTCAATGCAGTTTTTCTGCCTGAATATCGTTTCTTCAATTGAAAGTTGTTCCTCAATAAATTGTGCTATTTTCGCGTTGTTTTCTCGCAAATATAAGTATACAGGGAACTATACATACGTAAAAAAAAACAAGAAAACTCTTTTGAAAAACTTCAGATTAAAAGATTATACTAAATTTTTAGAGAAGACTTTCATTTTCGAACTTATTATTGTCGAATTGAATTGTTTTCAATATGCTATTATAATATTACTACAATAGAGTGTATATTAAATTATTAAATTTTTTTTTCTACTATTCTTAAACGTTTTAAATTTCTCAAAGTTTACTGTTTAATTTCAAAAACACAGTCTAATAGAGAGAGAGCTAAAAAAAGAAGCTCAAATGATGTGTTAACACTTTGTATCTTCATAATAAATATTGATTTATATTATAAGTGTCTACTGTTGTACTTTCCATATAAAGGGTGTTTTATAAGTTGCGACTCTATTTTTATTTTTTTCTATCTTTGATATATTCAATGGTGAAGAAATATTGAACATGTATACATAACAAGAGTAACATTTACGCTATGAATCAAAAGTATTGCAGTGAGTTTACACACCAACTCTAATCAGAGAATCGTCCGAAGTGATTCATCGCTTTGTGACTCCATATTTTGTCCATAAGTAGGAGATCTGTAGACTAGATAAAGCCTAAGAGGATATGGACCAGGCTTCGAAATTAGGCCATTTTTTTATGGTTCAGTCCGGGCCGACTCGAGCCCGAAGAAAATTTCGTTTACAAACATTTTTTTTTACTCAATGGAGAGCTATTGCATATTTTTCGTCTTTTAGAAAAAAGTGATAACCCGGGGAGGGACAGCATGGAAACTCTTCCTTACTCCCTCAGGGGTGAGTCAAATGTCAAAAAAACTGGTGTCCAGAAAAGGATAAAATCGTCCAGCTGAATGTCCCGACCCAACAGTGTTGTCGGCTCACCCTGACAAAATATTTGGTTGGGCTGGATGGTCCGTTTCGAGACCTGATATGGACCTATGTTGCGATTTGGGTGAAATATAGAGGTTTTACGGAAAAATCTCAGCCCAATTACAATATGAGCCCATATCCTCTTATACTTTTTTTTTAATCTACAGGTCTCTTAGTTATGGGCAAAATAGGAAGTCACAAAGCGATGAATCATTTCGAACGATTTCCTCGTAAGAGAGAAATACGTCGATAAAAATTTTTGTAAAACCATTTTTTTATTCTTTCTCTATCAAGGTTAGAGAAAAAGGCAGCCATTCTTATTCATTCATTCGCTACGAGTCACTTCTATCGTTCTATTCGTATGATATGCTTTTCAAGTGAAAGAAAATTCAAGTGTTGTTACAGACGAGAATAATTCCCAAATCTACACTTGTGAAATATGCACACGAATTCGAATTTTCTCTTACCTGAATAGCATACAATAAGAGCTAGACGTAAGAGGGTTCAAGTCGGCTTTAGACGTGAACCTAGAGAGAGCGGTGTCATCTTGCCCGTATCTGATAAGAAGAGAATGACAGAAATAACTCAAGAATTTTATCGTTGGTAGTATTGTTAAATAATTACTTTCCAGAATTGAGTATTGATCGAAAATTTTCATGAAAAAAATCTCCTTGAATTATCTGAAAAATATTTAAAAAAAAATGTTTAATAAATAAAATAATGAAAAGATGATTTAACTTGACAATCACTATAAGTTTTTCCAAACCATTTCATCCAAAAAGAAAATTCTTTTTCAAATAACTAAAACAAATAAATAAAATTTAAAAATAATAATTAAAAAATATTTAACTTTAGCTGAATGATATAAATTTAAATTATTTTCAATTCCAATTGATTTTTTACATGATAACATAGCAGCTATTTGTAATGGTAGATGACCATAAGCACAACCAAGATGAATAAATATATCATCAGATCGTAAAGAAAATTTTCGAAATAATTCATCAATTAATTCAAATGAATATTCATTTTGTATCTATGTTTAAAAAAAAAAAATAAAATTTTATTTATTTTTTGTTCTTTTTCTATTTACTAATAATTGGTTATCTTTTTGAGAAGATAATTTTAAAATAAATTGAAGAAATTCACGAGTTAAACGTGAAGATATTTTCTGACGTTTAGAATGATTTCGTATTTGTAAATTATTTTTATTACGTGATAATATATCATTTACAATTTTATTATAAGCTTCTGCATATGCTTTTATCATTGTTAAACTATAGACATTAAAAAAAAACACCAAATATTTTATTTTAGTAAATCAAAAAATTAATCTTACTCTTTAAGATCAATCATTGTACGAAATAAAGTTTGTTCTGAAATTTTTCGTAATTCAGGTGATAATTCACAAGCAAATCTTTTGTTTTTAATTTTTATTCAAAAAATAAAAATTATTTATTAATAATAAAAAACATACTTTATTGTTTGAATAACATTATTTGTTGAATTTGTATCATCCTAGATGATCATTAGATTGTCTTTTGATCTGATAATAAAGTCATTTTTTAAAAAAAGTGCAAACATTTAACATAAAATGAAAAGTTTACCCATTGAATATTTATATAGGCATCAGAATTGTCAATTGGACTAACAAGTCGAATAGCATAAGACACTTAAAACAAAATCTTATTTCAATAAAAATATTAAAGATTACTAAATATATATATATACTTCTTGTAGCAATTATTTAGTGTAATATGAAAATGAATACGTAGATTTTTAGTTGTCAAGGGAATACATTAAACGAAATTCATATTTCATGCAATGGAAAAATTAATTAAACACAAAGGAGTTTTCAAGAATTATTCAAAAAAAAAAAACATGCTGATGCTATTTTCTCGGACTATGAAAGCATATTGATTATACTTTATAAAAACTTTTGTCCGTGAAATAAATTAGATTAGATAAATTAAAAGATAATCATGTAAGATATCTACAATCTGTGATCTTATGAATAAACTCTTGACATTTTATATCGTTTACCTGCTACACATATCTCCCATTTTCATTTCACCGAGAGACTATTAAATCTCGAAAAATATTATTGCAATAGAATTATGACGAATAAAAAAATCTGTGTACATATATTTTAGTTGATTAATTGCAGCTCTATTTGCCGACATCAGTATCCGACATGGGTCGATTTTTCGTAACCCGATCCGAGTCGGACACTGACTGACATACAAAGACATTCTTTGTATAACTGAGAACGTTGATTGAGAAGTCGATATCAAAAGTCTCAACGGACTGGCCCGGCCTGATTCAATATTGCGATGGACGCCCAAGAACCGAATCTTGAATAAAATTTTCAAAAAATGCTGTGTATTTTTCGTAAATTTTTTGTTTTTCAAACCTCATGTAATTCGTCCATGGGCTAAAATATTTCTACAATGAACAGTAAATATATAAAGTAAAACGAAGGAAAAGATGAAATTGGCGTCACCTTAAAAAAGCTTTCTTTATATCGTAGAAAATGTCCTTATCTACCTCTCCTTGTTTAATCAACAATTACTTTGTTCTCATTTATTCCTACTGAGCCATTTCAACTACTGGTGTTGATTCATCATCACATATAAAATTGTATATATCCGAACGGATCAAATTTCTTTTGAAATAACAACCATTGACATATACTGTTATTAAAAATGACAAAAGCAAATACATCTTTATGTTAGAAAATTAAAAAATCAAAATACTGATGAATTCAAGAGAATGGAAGGTTTTGGATGTTGTCAAATATGTCACTGAACATTAATTGATACATAAAATACTGATACCGGAAATATACTTTTTCATTCATGTGTTTAAAATTGATCTTTAGGCAGATCATTTTTTTTAAGAAAAAAAAATCATAGACTGGGTCGAGTCAAAGGTCAATAACCGATGGACCAGTTTTCTTCAGTTCAGTGCAACCTATTGAGACATCCGGTTGACATGTATGTAGAAATAGATTTATTAAAAATTCTCATGAGTATTTTTTCTTGTTTTTATTTACCAATAAGAATTCTCTATGACGAATGATAGGCAGCTTAACACCTACTTGAATTCGACCATCGTCGAACAAATATTTGTATAGAACGAAAAAAAACTCAGTAGTTTATCTAGATTTTATTAGTGGTTAGTGGCTTTCATTTGTTTTCAAGGCTTTAAATATGGAATAAATGAAAGAGACGCATATGGGGTATTCCATGGGATCTCTCCAGCGTTTACATCGAGTATTTCCAAATTGGCTGAAACTTTCAGGATTTGTAGATCATAGTGAGATATGAAAAACGTACGGACTAGTTTTTTAAAATTCATTAATAAATAGAAGAATGCCGTACACAACATTTTCATATTTTTGTATAAAATCACAAAACTAGAATTTTGTGAAAAAATATCTTTTCTAAGATTGATTCCAATTGAATACATAAATTCAAATCATATTAACATATTATACATATTCTGAAAGCTCTTGATCTTGGCTACATTTTGGCTATAAAATATTGTAATTTTGTCAGGACTTTCGCGATGTCGCCCTATGTGTATGAGGACACACTCTTGCACATTTTGTCACTAAAAAATGTTCGTAAAACCTGAATTACAGAGAGTAGCCCTATAGGAGATTTTGTAGAGAATCAACTGCTCTACAAGATGCACTTAACCCGAACTCTCGCATTTTCTGTTTGAAAAAATCTAAAAACACAGGAAGACGAAAAATCCCCTTCTTTTGACAACTTTAAAGAAAAGTATATCCATAGAGCCCAACACATTCTCAACAAAAGTTTACCGATTTCGATGAAACTTTCAGCATTTGTAGAACTTTTAATTCCGAACATTTTGATAAAAAAATGTTTGTGAAAAGGTATCATATTAATGAAGATGATAGGGACATCATGTGAAACCATATAAAACCACTAAAGATTCGACCAAATTTAGCTGTTTTCATCACAATAACTGCATCATAGAGCAAAACAAATAGCATATTCGGAATCAGCGCAAAAAAATGCATCGATCCACATCATTTCCAAAAAAAATTTTTTCTCATCGAAAAATGGCTGTATCCCCCCTCAGGCCATTTTCCTATACAAATATTTGCCTGTGGTCCCCTAGGGGTGAATTTTGCAAAAAAAACTTTTTTTTGGAAATTATGTGGATCGATGTAATTTTTTGCGCTGATTCTGAATATGCTATTTGTTTTGCTCTACGATGCAATTATTGTGATGAAAACAGCTAGATTTTGGTCGAATCTTTAGTAGTTTTACATGGTTTCACATGATGTCCCTACCATCTCCATTAATATGATACCTTTTCACAAACATATTTTTATCAAAATGTTCAGAATTAAAAGCTCTACAAACGCTGAAAGTTTCATCAAAATCGGTAAACTTTTGTTGAGAATGTGGTGGACTCTATGGATATACTTTTCTTTAAAATACTCAAAAAAAAGGGATTTTTCGTCTTTCTGTGTTTCCTATTTTGTCAAATAGAAAATGCGAGAGCTCGGGTTAGGTGCATCTTGTAGAGCAGTTGATTCTCTACAAAATCTCCTATAGGGCTACTCTCTGTAATTCAGGTTTTACGAACATTTTTTAGTGACAAAATGCGCAAGAGTGTGTCCTCATACACATAGGGCGACATCGCGAAAGTCCTGACAAAATTACAATATTTTATAGCCAAAATGTAGTCCAGAGCAGGAGCTTTCAGAATATGTGTAATATGTTAATATAATTTGAATTTATGTGTTCAGTTCGAATCAATCTTAGAAAAGATGATTTTTCACAAAATCCTAGTTTTATGATTTTATACAAAAATATGAAAATGTTATGCACGGCATTCTTCTATTTATTAATGAATTTTAAAAAACTAGTCCGTACGTTTTTCATATCTCACTATGATCTACAAATCCTGAAAGTTTCGTTGAATTTGGAGATACTTGTGTATTTTGCTGGAGAGATACCATGGAATACCCCATATGTAGATCTATAACCTTGGTGTCGTTATCTGGTGACATAATAAACATTGTCTATCTACATTAATTGGCTAATCACTTTATTGTATCAGTGTTTATTATCAATTAATATGAGAATGTAGAAACAGGAAAGAAACTCTTATGGATAAAGAAAGAATATCATATTTCGTCATTATCTGGTAACTTGAAAATTATTTTATATTGATTAACATAGTAACTGTTTAGTAGTGATATTCTAATATCTTGAACAAGAATAATAGTAATTAAACGATTTTTTTTTGCAGTTGTCATTTTCTTGGTTTCTTTTTTATATGAATCTGATAATTTATTTGAACTTATATTAATCTAATACTCTCAATCAATTGTAGACTTTTTGTTATTATTCAATGTTCCGAAGAAATAAATATGAGTTATGTGTTGTTATATAATTCTTATTGTATTCTTCTTCTTCTTAACCACAAAATGAATGTCAATAATGACTTTTATTAAATTCACATATAAATCAAAGTCATTGTTTCTACGAAAAAAAAACGAGAGAATAGAATATTTAATTTATGATAGTAAGTAACTCGAAAAGTAATTTTAATTTATTATGCAATAATGTGTCATACTCGAAAAGAAGAAGATTATAATCTTGAAAGTGAATAACTGTTTTTATGCTATTTATAACAGTTCTTACTATATGCTACTTTCAACAATCGACTCAAAAGATAAAGAATGTCAATATTGTCATAGAACAATGGTGAATTTTTTTTTCTCTTACATTTCTTCTACTTTTATCTATTGAAAAATGAATATTCCGGTTGTTCCATAGTTTTTTCCTTACTTTCTAACATTAGAGTCCTCTATCGACTCTTGAAAGTAGTGGATGTTCTTTTAAATACGACTACCGTGTGTTTTCAACCTGACATGAATCATAATATATACGTCCTTGTGAGGCGTCTTTAGATTATGTCTGGTTTCAATCAAATATATTTATATATACGTATTTTTTCTTTTTCTTTAACCTGCAGCATAGATTAATACATAAATCTGTCTTTTAGATCACAAGATTTTTTTTTTCTCCTTTGAACTTATTCTTCATTGATTATACTTGAATTTTCAAGTGTAAAATACGAATGACAAACAAAGATAAGAATGATGAGACAAGTCCTCGAAAAAGATAAAATGTATATTTCATATTCACAACCTTGAATGACCTCATACGGATACATCTATTTATTTAATATATCTCAAGATAGGCATGAACAAAAGTCTTTTTTCCTTGAACAAAATTTATCAATTAAATAATTGTCCAACAATCATAAAATATCCTTGAAAAAATTCAACATTCTATAGGAAAAAAAAAGAAAGTCAAGTCGAATAACATTGTTTTATTACTCTAATATATATATATATATATATAGTTTTTTTTCTTCTTTATTTCTTTTTAGATAAGATGTAAAGTTTCTCTCAATGGCATTATCAAATAACAAAAATCATTCATCAATTAATGTAAATTTAATTTTATTTCAAGCTTGTGAACAAGGTGATTTAGAAACATTAAAAAATTATTTAAATCCTTTAACAACATCAGATATTAAATTAATACGTGATGCACAACAAGCAACACTTGTTCATTATGCTGCACGATATGGACATTTACATATACTTGAATATTTAATAGAGAAAAAAAATTTAGATATTAGTCAATTACGTACAGAACATGGTGCAACATGTGCACATGATGCTGCTGTTTGTGATCAAGCTGAAACACTTAATTATATATTTCATTATTCTAAATTAAATAATCAAAATAAACAAGATTCATTGCAAAAGCTTCGTTGGACTGTTCGAGATGAACAAGGAAATACACCATTACATCTTGGTAACAAAACAAAAAACTAATATTCAATAAATATTTATTAAAAAAATGAACTCTTCTTTTTTTTATATTAGCGGCTGCTTATGGTTCCATGAAAACTCTTCGTTATTTAATTGAACATGAATCAGCTGATCCTCATATTCGATCATATAATGGATTTCAACCAATTCATTATGCTGCTTCATCTGGTCATGGAGAATGTGTTAAATTATTATTAAGAATAGCACCAGATACTGTTAATGAACAAACAACAACATTATTAACACCTATCTATCTTGCTTGTCAATATGGATCAATCGATACAATTAAAATCTTATCTTCACATGGAGCTAATTTTAAATTAAGAGATGAAAATGGTTTAAATTGTTTACATACTGGTTAATTAATAAATTATTTTTTATTTTTATTAAAAACTAAAAAAAAAAACAAATCTTTTTATTTTTTTTGTTTTTAGCTTGTCAAAGTTCACATCTTCATGTTGTTCAATGGCTGGTAAGAACAAATAGAAATCTTTCTGTTTTTGTTTTCAAATCATTGTATAATACGATTAATATTGAATAGAAAAAAAAACAATATTCGAGAAGACCTTTAATATATTTCAATGAAACCATAAATATTACAGAGAAAATTTTTTTCATATTAATTCTCATAATGCATTCTTTTTTTTTTGCAAGATCGAATCCATAAAAAAAACGTCAGTTTATTTAGTTTCATAGAAAGAAAAATTATTTTTAATCAAACGAGAAATGTTGTAGGTATTGCTATATATTAAACTTTTTTATAGGTAGAAAAACAAAATGCTAATGTCGATGATGTTGATTATATGAATAATACTCCACTTCATTATGCAGCAGCAACTGGTAACGAAGCTATTATAACTTATTTATTAGAAAAAAATGCTCGGATTATAACATCGAGCAATGGCAATACACCATTACATGTGGTTAGTTAAAACTGTTTGCTTGTTTTTTTTATTAGAGAAAACTATATTTTCGCGTTTCAACTGTAAGAATAAAATGCGAAATAGACAAATGCAGTTGATCTTATTTTCAACGAGGAAATCTTAATTATCATTTTTTCGATTTATATGCAAATATATATATAACATTTGGAAATGAACTACTATCAGATCAAGAGTTGTTCACGCCTGTCCAATTCAGAATAGCACATATCTTTTATAAAAAGAATTCGATAATCATTGCACTCATTTATTAGAAGATGATAAAAATAAATACTCTACTTTTAGTTATTGGTTAAAACGTTCGCATGATAAAGATTTCTAATTGTTATCAATTATGTAGTGCAAAGTCTATATGAAAATCAGAATAAAATGATGTTATTTAATTCTGATTGAAACCTGATCTTTCAGCTGTAAACATAGATTTCAATTAATTTTAGTCTTTTTCTTATTTTTGATTAATTAAAAATGATCGATCAAGGAAGATTAAAATTAAATTAAATCTATCTTTAGAGCTCAAAAATCAAATTTATATCGGATTCAACTTTTAATTAGAAAAAAATCAATTAAAATCAGATTTTCTGTTGTTTACGAGGAAAATCTTTCTCAAAAAAAAAAAAAAGAAATCAGGTTCGAATCGTCTCAAGCGGGAAACAGCAAGGGCTTCCGTCTTGAAGTCTGATGTTTTTCCCTCGGATCGCTCAGTCCGTACGAAAAATCTTTCTGAATCAGGTCGAATCGTCGAACAGGGCGATCAGTAGAGTCCATCGTGTCCAAAAATTTCTGAATCTGAACCTGATTGATTAGTTTTTTTGTGAGTCCGAACTTCAATCAAGCTCAAACTCCTCTTAATAAAATTTTCTAATCTTGATAATTTATATTTAAAAATAAATATAAGTGGAAAAACGAAAATTGGTCGAGAAACTCATAATAAAAAAAAAGCTTCAACTGAAACGAATAAACTAAAACGTTACAAAAAGAAAACGGAAGACGCTATTACCAAAATGTAGATCGTTACAGCGAAGCATATGCTTTTCTGAGACATACAGCATATGAAATAGAATTTCTCTTCAAAATCAAAAACTGTTAGAATGGCGAATTTTCATGAAATTATATCAAAATAATTCTGATATGCATTTCGAGAGTGCCGGTGTGGTTGTCGGTATAGTTGCGGGTGCAAGTATGTGAAAGGATTGAAGAAGTCTTATTCCCAATATCCGTACCTATTCTTCAACTTATAAATTAATATTTTTTATTTTCTACACTGCTGACGATTTTGTCAAATTTTCTCTTTTCCTTTTTGTTGTAAATTTCTCGACCAATTTTCATAGATCCATAAATAAATTAAAGTTTTCCAAATAAAAATTTAAAGAAATTTGCAAAATATCGTTATATGTATTAAAAGTTTTTCTCGATTTACACCCGGAAGGCTCTACCGGTCAGTTTCGAGACCTGATTACTGTGAAAATCTCAATAATCATTTTTCTTTCACACTTTTATTCAATTCGAATTGATTTCTTTTCAATGGTACGATCTTCAGCCCTACATTTTTTTGTCACTGACTTTCACCATATACTGAAATAGTTTTGTTTGTTACAAACAATAGGAAACATCGTTTATAATACATGAAAGGAGATGAATTTTGTATTTAAAGAATAATATTTGAGTTTAGGCAGCTGAAAATGGTCATCAAAGTGCATGTGCTATATTAATTGAACGAGGTCATTGTTCAGTAAACACACGAAATAGTTCTCAATTAACATCAGCTGATTTAGCCAATCATTATGGTTTTCCATCACTTGCTAATGAACTTCGTCTTCATGAAAATTCTTCATCTATGTATGAAAATTCTTCACCTATGTATGAAAATTCTTCTCCAATTAGTGAAAGAATAGAATTAGAAAATGCAACTATTATACGATTAGTTGTTAAAAAACGTAATGTTGAACGTTCTGATGCATCAAATCAAGTTGATGAAAATGAATTAATAACAAATTCAATTAATGAAACAAATTCTTTGATAGATGATGGATCTTTTTCATCAAAAAAATTAATTAATCAACGTTTTGATCCATTGGAACTTCGTTCACGTGTTGAAGAACGTGAAGCAACTAGAATTAATTCAATGATAAGTAATGATCAAGTAACAAATGTTCTTATGCACAGTATGGATTCACTTAATCAACAACAAAAAAATCGACAACGCTCAAAATTACCATCACAAACATATGCACCATGGCTTAAAGCGGGTAACATGACACCAAAAGCATTTGAACAAGAAATTCAGTAAGTAGAAAAAGAAAAGAAATAAATCTAAAAAGTTTATACTTTTTTTTTTATTCTACTTTTTAAAGATAAAATGAAATGGTGCGTAGAAATTTGTTAGAAAAGCAACAATATATATATATATATATATACATTATTTTACTATTTTGCATGACTAACATGGGGATACATATTGAATAGATATTTTTTTTAATGCTTGTTTTTTTTTTCCTTTCTTTTTCTAGTTAATATTTTATTTTAAATAAAGATCTTTTTTTTTATTTTAGGAAAGTTGGATCAAATTTACGCAAAGTACGACGTGATAGTAAGAGAGAAACAAAAAAAAAAGAATTCAATTAATATTTATTTTTCAAGGTTTATCAACAGCAAATAATACAGAGTCAGATTCTTATGTAGAACGTTCACGACAAAGTCGATCACTTGGACCTCCTGTAACGCCATCAGTAAAACCTGAAGAAACATCAACATCAACATCAACATCGACATCGACATCTGATAATGAATATTTAAATAATAATACATGGAAAAGACCTGGATATCAAACGGTATGTTTTATATTATATTTAAGAAAAATAAAAACAAGAACTTTTTGTTATATGTATCTTTCAGGGTCCAACTGTAGTTCCAATTGCCAAGTCACATCAATTTATAACTGGATCTTCTCAATCAAGTTCAGTTCGATAAACCCGAATGGCAACGTGTCTTAATGGAACGTCGTCGAACTTCAACTGTGGAATAATATAATAATCTTGAACATTATTCGTTTTTTTTTTCTTCTCCCATAGTGTCTTGTATGTTTCTAGTCGACAAAAGTTTATTGAGGTATTTTGTTTTGGGATTTATCATTGTCTTTTATTGACTTCACGAAAACTCATTTCAACCTTTTTCTTTGTTTTTTGCTTTAATTAATTATTTATAAATTTTGATCATTCGGATCAATTATGTATTCATTTTTATTTTTCATTTAGAAATTAGTATTAATAAAAAGTTGTTAAAGAATTTTTGTGAACTACGATCGAAAAAGAGTAATTTGAAACCTTCCTTACACAGACGTGACAGACATAATTCCGAGACTAAATTCTACTATGAGATTAGCAGTTTCATCGTGTTTTATATTTTAATCGTTCAACGATTGTGCGAACAGTTTTTATGAGTTACGCGCAAGTCGAAATTCATGTAAGGCTTTTTTCTACATGGTTCGATAGAGATTGAGCTGCCGGTTGTGAAAAAGATATCTTATGTTTGAGTTTTGGTGTTTTTTTTGTTCTGCTTCTGTGATCAATTTTTTGTCGAATTCCACCTTAAAAACTGACTCGAATAATGTATAACTTTGCTGTTTCTAATAATTCCAGCTTTTCTATTGAGTTTTCACCTCAATCGATGATTGAAATTGTTAATGAAAAATGAAAAGTAACCAAATGTTTAGATGCATAAAAACTGAGAATTACAAGCAAAATACTTCATATTTAACCCAGAATTTTTTCAATAGCTAAACAATGTATAAATAAAAGCGATACATACTTTCGCGACTACTAGTACAATGAATTCAATGAGATAAAATACTTGTCTTTATTATTTACAAAGAAAAACTAAATAGGTTTACAAAAATGACTTAAAAGCATATGAATAGCACCTAATTTGGATTGCCATCATCAATAAAAAGAGTATTTCTAATCGGTTTTTAACGCTGAATTTGAGAAAAGATTAGTTGTAGAAATAAAATTTTAAGATATTGCGAAGAATTGACAATAAAATGCTTTTTGGAAAAAAACCGACTCTTTCCCGGTTGTGAAATTTTCTTCGACTTGAAGGTGCTATTCACAAAAAACTAAAAGTCAATTTTTCTTAATCACTAACTCAAGCTCTATTGAATGATATATGAAAAAAAATCCTACTCGAATTTCAACTTGCGTGCACTTTAGATAAAGCGAATGATCTTTATATATATAAATACCAATGAATAAAAAAAAGATCATTAATCATAGAAACAATTTATCAGTGAATTTTATTATGTTTCATATTTATCAGATGAAAAAAAGAAGTCATTTTGATAAACGTCTGTTATCTTTGTCAAACATTTTCTTAACGAAGTGTAAAAAAAACTATTAGTGCAATCTCTGCGGGATTAGAATGCAAAGCACAATTCAGCTGTTGTTACTAATCATATGGAAGTTGTTTTATTCTGTCTATCTTGCGACACACTTCTTCATCTGCCATAGAAATATAATGAAGAAGTAGTTAACATATTGTAACAAATCGTTATTGACATACCGTCTGTGAGAATGGGAGCGGAGAATGAAAATTCCTACTATATATTTCAACAATCCGTTTAGATCGTGTTTCACGAAAGAAGATTTAAATAAATATTTACAGCAATAATGAGAACAAATTAATTGGTTTTTGTCTATAGTGAAACGAGGATATTATTCATTGATACAGCAGATAATATAGTACAATATAGATAACATATAATTACGTTGTTAAATATTTGGAAAAGGACTAAGTTGAAATGGAATTGATATGATGGGTAGAATAATACTATCTTTCTTTTACTGATTCTTATCGATCACAAATTTGTCAAACTGTACTATGCAGTTTAACATTATCAAATCTTATTTGTAGTTACGAACCAGGCTTCGAAATTGGCCCAGTTTTTTATGGCTCGGCCTAGGTTCGAAAGAAACTTCGTTTACAAAGATTTTTTTTCTCAATAGACAGCTATTTCATATTTTTCGGCTTTTATAAAAAATGATGAGCAAGAGAGAAAGGATAGCGTGGAGAGCTTTCTTCCATCCCCCCTCAGGATGAGCAAAATCTCAGAAAAAATCATGTCAAAAAAGGATAAAATCGTCGGGTCTAGTGATCCATCCGGCCCATTTCAAGGTCTGTTACAAACTAAAAATCATCGAGAATTACGATAAAGTTGGATTATTTTATACAAATGTTAAATTGTTTTCATTGGGATTTTTAATGTTTATATTTCAAAAATCTACATCGATACTTTTCAATCATTCCTGATCGTAATCTGAAAAATGTGGAAACCTCGGATTTAAATCCGAGAGTTATGTGTACTTCAAAAAGTGAATGAGACAGATGAGTTACCCTAGAATGTGTGGACATCAAAATTGTCCTGGCAAACCCTTTCTGTAAACACTTAATTTCTATTGGCTATTGCTCAGCCAATACGATTTGGAGGCAAATACAGAGAAGATTTGAACTCTTCACCTTCATTTACCCTAAGAAACTCGTTTTTCTTATAACTTGATTTCTATTGGTCACTGCTCAACCAATGGGATTTCGAGGCGAATGGAACATAGATTCGAGTTCTCCATTCTAGAAAACCTCGAACTATCATCGCTGTGATGGGAAGATAGAGCTCTAATTGTGGATCACATAGAGCGCGGACAAAAATAGAACCGAATTCCGATTAATTATCTTTGCAATAGGCGAGTTAGCTTTCTTGTTTCTTTATGTTTTATATACCATTTTGTAGCTCGTGAAATTCTCTATCGAATGGTATATAATAGTTGGAGTTTTATATGACTATGATAGGAAAAGTTTTTTATGAAAGTAGAGAAGGGTCTATCTTCTCATAGGGAAAAATGACTATTTTTGCTATAACTCAGCAATGGTTCGGCCAATCATTCTCATCTTCGAACTCGACCGAGATATTGTTAAGACTAAACTGTGTAGAAAATTTCATCGCGATCGGACTCTTCTTTCAAAAGTTATCGTGTTAACGGCCGGACGGCCGGACACACTGACCGATTCTAGAGTGTACTCACTTTTTGAGTACACAAAAAGTGCTATTTTCGACCCCTCCCTCCTCTTTGACAGAATTATTTAACAATCATCCAAATGTGAGCTGACGGTGTGTTTTGAAAAGTAGAGAAGTAAAAATATCTGTTAAAAGATTCATTTGTTTTCAATGTAGATTGTATAGAATGACAACATTTCGTTTAGCTACGCTTAATGTTCATTCTTTTGCTGATCATTTGGCATATAGAGATAATATGAATCGATTAATAAATATTTTAAAACCATATAATTTTGATTTGATTGCTGTTCAAGAAACATTAAATGATGATAACTGGTCAAAATTCTGTAATCTTCTTGGTTTAAATCATTTTATATATGGTCCATGTGAAGAACATATATTTGGTAATGGTATTGCATCTCGTTATCCAATAAAAACTTATTCAAATCAACGAACAAGTTATTCTTATTTAGGTGGAAGAAGATCTTTATTAGAATGTTGTTTAGATAGTAATCATCCATTTGTTAAAGATCGAATATTTGCTGTTACACATTTAGATCATTTAAATGAACATGATCGATTAAAACAAATAAAAGAATTTGATCCATGGAATAAAAATATCGATATATTTATGGGTGATATGAATTCATTAACACAAGATGATTATTCAAATAATTATTTTGAAAAAAATATATTTGAATTACGAAAAAAATCTGATTGGGAAAAACCTTATTTTGATGTAACTCAATTAATAACAAATCAATGGTTATATAAAGATGCTTTTAAACAAATAAATCCAAATTTAAAAGATAAACAACTAGCCACATGTCGATATGGAACTCGTATTGATTATATTTATTTACATCCTCGTATTTATGATTCATGGATTTTAAAAGATTGTTCGATTATTGATACTCAAAATGCTACTGATCATAATGCGGTTTTTGCAATATTCGAACAGAAACAAAACTTATAAGACAAATTTATTCTTTCAAAAGTTTCTTTTAATATTTTTATTTTTGTAATACCGAAATAGAATATTTTTATCGTCGAAAGATACTGCTCAAGTTAATATTCTTTCATTTTGTTTGTCAAGGTTTTCTTCAACGAAAATATGATGTTTACCATGATTCTTTTTTGTTAAGAACCACAAATTAATTTTTGCTTTTATCACGAGTAATTTTTTGTTTTCTTGGAAAAATCCAAAATATTGAAAAGCAGAAGTGAAACTTTTCACTTCTTATACAGGATGGTCTAAAAGTAATCCGACAGTCTTTGATTGAGAATAATTTTTGATAGGAACAAGATAGAGAACTACGGTTTTCACCATTCGAAAGAAGAGGCGAAGACGCATCGAATTGTATAATATAAGATAATTTGACCTAGTTTTTTTCAAGCAGTTAAATCGACGTACTCCGTAAGGTGACTACACTAAATTTTTATGATCAGATGTGCATTGAAACTGCTAGTTGAAAACCTACAAAAGTGTGCAAAGTCCAGACTTTAAGAGTTACTCCTTCAGAAGTTGTAGATATTCTACTCGAAATTCTCAGCCAATTCTTCATTTAATTTCTGTGAAAAAAAAATCATTTTTTTTGCTTTTTTCTTATTTTATAAGAAACCATATTTCTGGCGATTTTTTTAGAAAATTGATTAAAAAGCTCTAGAAAACATCTTAGTAACAACATAAAATATATGATTCAATGCATCTTGATCTCCTCTTTCGAAGAGTGAAAACCGCAGCCCTCTATCTTGTTCCTATCAAAAGTTATTCGCAATCGAAGAATGCCGGGTTACTTTTGGACCATCCTGCAATGTAACATGTTACTCTGTAATAAGAATGGACAAAGTCAACGTTTATTTAGAAACGTAACAGATTTCTAACAAATGTCCGAGGTGAAATTGCACTAAATTTCGATGTTTCGTCCTCTCAGCTGCTATTCTTAAAAACATATTGTTTATGTACTAAAAGATAGAGAATTTGGGTATCAGTGGGATACGTCGACACCAACAATGTCGACCTTATTTACGCGTTGTAAATTACGCTGTGATTATCTAAAAGTAATTGTTTAACAGACTAGAATAAAATATCAAATACAAAATAAAAAATTTTTTAAATTAAAAAGTTTAAAGTCTTAGAAGTCATTATAATGGCTTTTGACGTCGAATTTCATCAATGTCACTTGAACAAATTAAACTGATTTCCAAAATGTTCGAATCCATTGTATCACAAGATTAAATCATAGTTAAGATTACAGAAAAGATCGAAATTTTAAATATGTCAACACATTACTTTAACAAAGACTACATCTTCTCATTCAACTAATAAAATTCACGTAATTTATGTCGACACTATGGGTGTCGATGTATCCCACTAATACCCTATTCAACAGACATATGTAATGATAAATAATGCCTGATAACAACAAATTTCATGAAAAGGAAAAGTTTCTTTATAGTGCTTATAACAGTAATTGAAATTTATTTAATTGTTTGACAGATATTCAAAAGAAAAAGAAAAATAACAATAGACTAAACACAAAAAAGTACACACATATCAAACTTCTTTTCTTTCTAACATAAAATTTTTCATTCAAGTTCCATTGGTGACGTTACTCTTACAAAACATGATTGTTATCACACTTTTTATAATATTCTCACATGTGATTTTAAGATAAAGTCTTTAAAAGAATTTATGGACCTTACATCAAGCACCTATCGCAAGTACAAAATCAGCAGCTAGCGGGACTTATTTTTTCGGGATTTATTGGGATTTTTCAATAAGTCCGTAAGCACTTTGAGATAAATCCCATACAGTTCCTCGCTACATACAGAATGTGGACGAGGGTGTGGGTGTGAGTGTGGGTGTGAGTATGGGTGTGGGTGTTGATGTGAGTATACTGGGATAGCATCAATATTAATATATCAGAATAAATCCTCAATAAAGAAATAAGTCCGCTAGAAAGAATAAATTCCGAAAAAATTAGTCCCGGCAGTCCCTCTAAGATAGTGACGAGTCATATCCATCGCTTTTGTTTGATGATTAGTATTCATTGTAGCTTTTCCACCTTGGTAATGAGCCTTGCGAGACAAGCGCTTGCTAACGTTTGTTGAGATCAATTCATAGTTGCTAAATGTTGATTATCCACCTTGATACTGAGCCGTAGAAGACAAGCGCTTGTTGTCACCTGGTAAAAGTAATTGACTATCGTTGATAGTTGATGTTTGACATTCACGATCTGCACGTGAAATTCGATTGTTAACATAAGATATCTAAAAACAACAATTCATAACAATGCTTTGGAAAGCATAGCTAACTTACTTTATTATTCGGCTTGTTTTTATTTTTTTGCGAACCACAACATGAAAACATACAAGACATCTAAAAAGAATTGAAAAAACTGATTTGGTGAACATAATGCGTTAATTTAAGTAAATACAAGAAAAATATGCGGTCGAAATACATTCGGTACGTTGTTTATAGGGTATTATACAAAGAAATGTTTATGTATAAATTAAATTTTATCTTATTCTATTGTTTGTATTCCATAGTCAGATATGAACGTCGTTTATTTTATTGCCTTTCTGTATCTAACGGATAGATATATACCTGAAGAAATAGTTGTCACTCTATGCCGAACAGTATGCAGCTCATAACTACAGTAATTAATACAGTGCAAAGCACAGTATTGATTTTAATATTACGCACCCCAAGCCAAAGCAAAATACTGAAGGCAGTCATGATTTTGAAAGTACTTTGCTTATTTGTTACACCATAGTTTAAAACTTGCTCCTCTTCTTATTGACATCCTACTTATTTACCGATGACTGTTGATGAACTTTTTTCTTTTTCATCTCATCGAATTCATCACTGAAAAATTTTCTTTTCTACATTTAGAGTCTTGTTTTTATTCATGTCCTCAAATAAAAATGAATAATTGATTTATCAGAAGATCTGTAAAAGTTAGACAGTTTTCATTTCTTAAAGGTGAATGTATGTATGATCAAATCTGACTAGTGAATGTACTGAGCTAAGGGTACCCGAAAAAGTACCCTGGTACTAGTATGTCACAGGAAATTTCGGGTACTGAAGTACCTTAAGGTACTTTTAGGTACCTATAAGGTACTCGACCAAGTACCCTGCTGGAAAGCATCCAGTAAATGGGTACTTGAAGGTACTGATCAAGTACCCAACTGGGTACTATTGTTCAGTAATTTTGGGTACCCTGTTGCCAAACTTGCAGTATGTTGATGATCGAAACTAACCTTTGGCTTTTTTCATTTTTGTTTCTCTCAAAGCAATTTATGATATTTTCTCGATTTTATTTTATTTTATTTTTCTAATTTTGAAAAGCCAAGCAGGTCAAATTTCGAGATCTAACCGGACGCGAATTGGTCGGATCTCCATCAGACCACTTCAAGGTAGTCCTCTCTCAATCTACGATTGAGATCAGCATGTCCTCGACTAGTAAATAGTCAAGAAAAATAATCTAGAAAAACTTAGTATGAAAAAATATTTTTTTCTTATGCTTCCTCGAGTTGCTTATATGAAGCCGTGTATGCAAAAGAAAACGGTGAATGAACAGTTGCTACACAGAACGCAACAAATCTAGGGTACTCTGTAGAGCTTTTCCTAGTAAAATTACAGGTGCGGGTACTCGTGCAAGTACTTGTTCAGTAAACATACTGCAATGGGTACCCAATGCAGCACCTACGTCAGTATAATTACTGAAAATTTTCGAAGTACCCATATCGGGTACCTTGCTGAGGCTTTCACAGTACATGGGTACCCTGAACTCAGTACTTTCTCTAGGGATTGATCAAGATTATCACACTCAGATAATAAACAGAATAACAGTAAAAGGTCAATTATGTAAAAAATTGAAATTTATTTTCATGTGTGAAAACCATAACCAGAGTTATTTCATAAAACAAATATATATGTGACATATTTCATATGAAACACAAGAAAAAAATTGTTTTTATACAAAAATATATTGCCATCAAAGGCGTCAAACGGTAATAATCTGGTCTTTACTTTTTTGAATTAGTTCTCGGTATTTTCTTATTTAGAACAAAATACTAATAAATATGCCGTTGATAGGGGTCAAGTACCAAACTACACTATTTCAGATTTCAATTAAAAAGCTGCTTTGTTGTAACTTACTTTATCGAAGAAAGAAATATTTATATGGTTATGAATAACAGTAGTCGAATTTAAGGACATTTTTTTCATTGAAGTTGAGCACTTTATGTTGATTATGAATGCGTTCAATTTATTTAAAAGACATCGCTATATATACAAATGTGTAATTAGGTAGATAATGAACTCATTCGTGGCCGGCGAGATAAATAATAGAAAACAAATACACATCTAACAAATTGGGTATTAGTGGGATACATCGACACCCATAGTGTCGACATAAATTACGTGAATTTTATTAGTTGAATGAGAAGATGTAGTCTTTGTTAAAGTAATGTGTTGACATATTTAAAATTTCGATCTTTTCTGTAATCTTAACTATGATTTAATCTTGTGATACAATGGATTCGAACATTTTGGAAATCAGTTTAATTTGTTCAAGTGACATTGATGAAATTCGACGTCAAAAGCCATTATAATGACTTCTAAGACTTTAAACTTTTTAATTTAAAAAATTTTTTATTTTGTATTTGATATTTTATTCTAGTCTGTTAAACAATTACTTTTAGATAATCACAGCGTAATTTACAACGCGTAAATAAGGTCGACATTGTTGGTATCGACGTATCCCACTAATACCGAGAATTTGAAGCTCTACAAAACAGTTGATTTGGCTTTTCAAATAAGTATTCTTTGTTAGTGTCAACTTTAAAAGATGAGCATCCATTCGACTGGGACATTCACAAAACCCAAAATATACTATAAGTATTCTTTACGAAAGGTTCCACTGGACTTTCAAGAGTGTCACAAAATTCTTCATAAAATTCTGCACCTTTGGATGTATGTTTTAGAATTTCAGGTGAAATATTTTGGATAAGCAGCTTTGAAATAAAAGAAGAACTGGAAACGCCGAAGGCAGTCTTTCATGATAGACGTGTACAATTCTTCTTTTTAAATTCTAAATAATCTTAGTATTTTCACTGTTCAATTTAGCAGTTACACCATTTTGTTCAGTATTAAATGCTAGGCCCCGACGTTTCTAAATTGTCCAAGCGTTTAAAATTTTTAGGGAAGACTACTATTACGACTTTCGTACAAAAATTTTCAAAAAACGTAGGATTTGAGGGTGTAGGTGCTGGTGTGAGAGCGGAGCATATTAAGACTCACACTTGCACTTACATCTAACAAATAGGAATTATTGAATGTACGACTAGCAGATAATAGTTCGTTCTCGTCCAACATAATGATGACCATACACAGACGTGTTCTTTACGTTTTCAAGCGTTGGTAAATAAAATTTTGGTCATCTCTAAAGTTCATGTCCAATGATGAAACGTCAACGTCACCAGCAGGGACATTTCTTAATTGGTGAACGTAAAATCAATGCTAACTTATAAGTCGAGCAGCAGAATTAACTCTTAAAAAATTCGAAATTTTCCCAGTCGTATTAGAAGCCCTGGGGCTTCTAATACATCTTTCACATCCATTCTTTCAAAGGGGGCTTCTAATATGGGGGAAGTTACATTCGATAGCCCAAAGATAAATTTTGAATTCCATACTCTAGCTCCATATGGAGTCGCACTAACAAGTTTTTGAGAAATTAATTAAGAAAGATGTTTTATTACATCCGACGCATTGTTCCTTCAAGGGGGCTTTTATTATCAGTGGCGGGAGGTTTAGTTCCAATATTTAGGGTGTGAGTCTTTCCTTAACCGATGCACTCTACGGCATGCATGGAATCAGTACTGGCAATCGGTCGACTTAGTACCAATCGGTCTATCGACTGAACTGATATATCAGCCAGTCCAATCCGGTCTGATGAGCTAATCAGACCGGTACCGTTAATCCAATTCTAATTTCATCCACAAATAATCTGATGAAAATTCGAATTTTAGTTTTGTCTATACAAAATAACCGAATTCCAGTTTCGATTATAGCCTATATTTATATATTACACATAATATAGTTGTCTATTTGTTGGTCAAACGTTCTTCATTTATATGTTTAAAAAAACAAAAAAAACTAAACTGCATTAAATAAATGTCATGTTTATTATTTCGTATCATTTCATAAATCATTAATTCTAGTATTAGACATAAAAATAAATAATACAATACGAAAAGAAAAGAAAAGAACAACCGCACACCGGAAATAAGAAATTTATAATTGGTACAAAAAAATGTTCCTTTAAAAAAATGAAATGATTGACTAATTGTAGATGTTCAAGAAAGGTCGAAATAATGTACGATTATCTCTTGTTTTACTCTGACGATCATTATATGAATATCAATATTTAGATTGTATAACAGGACTGGAACGAGAACTATTAGCACCGGCTTCAGATGGACTGGGTTTGTTTATATTAACATAATTCGATGGTGATTCCGTAATTACGTTGTTATTAGGTTGTGTAGAATTCATATTCACATTTCCGTATAGCGATGATTGTTGTAAAACTAGAAATAAGACATGGAAATTTTATTTCTAAATAACTAGATGATTATCTGAACTCTCCTATCAGCAACGCAAAGAAAATAAAACGTTTTGATATCGTTGAAATTATAAGAAAATATTTTACAATTGACAATCATCATAACTTTGATATTTTGCCCATTTCTTTCTTTCATATTCAGTCGTGAACATCTAATAAAACTAACTTACTATCATTTAATCGATTAGTTTCTCTTAAATATTCTTCTACACAACGATTTACTAACATGTATTGATCCTATAAAAAAAAAAGAATATGTTTTATTGACAAATAAATCAAATAAAAACATACTTTAGTTTGTACCATTTTTCCTCTATCTTGTCTTAATTGATAAACAACACCCATAACATCAAGTTGCATTGTTAATAAATCTTGTTGTGATCGATCAATTAAACGCATAATAATATCTACTGCTATATAAGTACCTGTTCGACCAACACCAGCACTTAAAAGAATAAATAAAAATAAAAATTTTATTTTATTTTATTTATTGTTTTTTGACATAAATTTCAACCTGCAATGAATAACTGTAGGTGATAATGAAGTTTTTTTTGATTGTTCAACTGAAATTAATTGATTTTTTCCATGATTATTAATATATTGAATAAGGTCAAGTAATTTTCGTGGTTCAACAACACTGAAATCTGGCCAACCAGTAAAATAATAATGAAATACATGATGTTCGTTATTATCCTTAAAATAGAAAAAAATTCAATTGAAAAAATTTAATAAAAATAAAATTTACAGCTTTAATAAGTATACGACGAATTTCAAGATCAACGTTTTCTTGATATTCAACATCGATCACTTGAACAGATACTCTATTAAATGTTAATAATTTTCCTTTTTTATCAGGAAAATAACGATAACATTTCGACTAAAATATAATATGAAATATTGAAATATTTCTTTTTGTTAAAAGTAAGGATTATTACTAATGTTTGTGAATGATTATGAGGATTTCGTTCTTCTGTTCTTGTTAACATAACTATTTTCTTTACACCATATTGAATAATCATATCCCAAAAATCTTCACAAGTTGTTTCTAATGGACCTTGACAAGCTATATATTGTTTTTCACTAGACAATCCCTATTTTGATAATATAGATTTTTTTATCAAATATTTTCAATTTATTAAATTACTTTTATTTCATTTGCATTTATATAATCATGAAAACGATGAAGACCATTCAATTGAACAGCTGTGCGTTCCCCTATAATAACATATCATCAAGAGAATTAAATAATAATCTCAAAAAAAAATTCAATTTACATACAAGGTCCTCGAGCAGGAATGTTACTATATCGATTATAAATTGCATATTCGGAATCATCTTCTGACGGACGATATTGTGGAGAGGTACTATCCAATTCCTATATGTAATTATCAATTCTTAGATTAGTTTTGGGTACGGCAGAATAAATGGCAGTTCCACTGTTTTAATCATGAGTTGTTCAATTTTCATTCTATCGAACTATTCTTTTCGTTTCAAAGATTTCCAGTTCGATTCTCTAAAAGCTGATATATTTTATTTAACAAATATAATCTTTTTCATTTTCTAACAATCGATGGAAGTATTTAAAACAGCGATGAGAACTTTTTCGCATCGTCTTTCAACTGTCTAACCAAACGTTAAAACAAAATTCAAGCTAGTTAGACTGTTGAAGGATGGTGCGAGAAAATTCACATCACTAACTTCAATATTTTCATCAATTGTTAGACAATGGATGAAATTATATTTGTCAAATGAAAGACCATTGTAAGGTTTTGACTGCAGAATGGGATATATGTAGGCTTCTAGAATAAGACTTCTCCTATCACATGGTGTATGTGTGCATGTAGTTCAAACCGCTCGAAAAGTGGGCGATTAACCATGTTTCTCTTGCTTAATATTTTTTGTATCACAGCGCATCCATATTTTTAACTCTTATAAATTTGTTAGATTTTAGTCGAAATCGCTGCCTCCCTCTATTTCCCTAATCGAACATCTTGCAAGCAAGATCTTGTTCAAGATACAAGATATAGAAATGTTAACAGATCTTGAAAATTTAGGTACAAGATAATCACACTTTCTTATACCAAGATCTGCGATTAGATCTTGAGTACAGATGAATTGATAAGTTTAAGACGTCAAAATGTAACATTTTTTGCTCAAGACCTTGACTTAATGATAGTTACTAAATATTATTTTGTCATCGCTGTAAATTAGATTGTGGCGTATTCTTCAAGAAAAAATTATCTCCATCCATGGGTGCTCATCAGGACGAGGATGTTGAACCTTTTTGAATTAACCATCAGTCTCTAACTTGGTTCGCTGTACTTCTAATAGAAATTTGACTTCGGATTCAGATTTAGTGTGAAATTTTACATCGGAGTGACTGCTTTAGAAGTTCTTCGAGGCATCTCTAAATGAGTTCTAGTCATCGTTTTCAGAAGATGTGTATTTAAGTCAAGATCTTACAAATCTGTACCTAAGATCTAATTACAGATCTTGGCACAAGATAATGTGATTATCTTGCACCTAAATTTCCAAGATCTATTAACATTTCTGTACTTTGTACCTTAGCCAAGATCTTGCTTACAAAATGTTCGACTAGGGTTGTGAATGTGCTGAAGCTGTTGGCATCAGCCACAGCAACTATATTCGGTTTGTTTTCGAGTTTAGTTTTGTATTAAAGAGAGCGTCACAACAATAGCCATTCGTTAGATGACTCAATCAATAGAAAAATTAATGGTACCATCTGACGCAATTTATTGTGGCATATAAATATGGACTTTTTAACTTGCAATCGATATTTTCGAGATAGAAAAATATTAATTTAATACTGAAATTATAAAAAAATTGATGAAAAAGGAAAAAATTGTTCGAATCGTCGATTTTTAATAAAAACCGACGACATAGGTACTATTAAGTTCTATTAAGTACTGCTGATATGTTGATAGATGGATCAGGATGCTCTTCGCCGAAAGTCACATCACCGAAATGCAGATCTGCGAAATTCGGCGGACTGCATTTCGACGATTTAACTATCGGCCATCTTTCGTTTCGGTCGTGTCACTGTCAGTGATATGGCTATCGGCGTTTTTTTTATGTCAATGATCGAATCCATCAGTTAATAACTAATTTAAGTGAGTGATACAATAGATTACTAACTTGATCAAGTTAGTGACTAACTTGACTTAGTATCCAAGTCAAGTTTAGTCATTAGTTTAATTTCAGTGCTAACTATAAGCTAGTAAATGATAGAAAAGAATTCGACGATCCTTCTTTTATATAATGTTCATTTCGGCGCGAGTTTCGATGATGAGCATTACAATCAATAGATGGTTCCACCTTCGAAGCATTCTGTAGTGGACGCGGTAAAGGTGGCGCCATCTATTGACATGTCAACAGTATGGAATAGGAGTTGATAATACATGCAACATTTGATAGAGGTAGTTTCCTTTACAAGCCTACATATGTCCCACTCTATAGTGAAAAATGACTATGAAACTTATAGTCGCCTTTTACCAGTTTGTAGAGAATTGAACGAAGAATCTTTGAAATGAAAAGAATATCTCGATAGAATGAAGACTGGAAACTAATGGTTAAAATAGTAAGACTGCCATTTATTCTGTCGCACCCGTTATATGATCTTTTCACTGACTTGATATTCGGCGTATATTGCTTTTTTGTCTTCATCTGTCATGTTAACATATTTTGAAAGTGGTTTTGGTCTAAACAAGAATAAATGACATGGTTTCTAAGAATTTATTTATTCAAGAAAAATGAATGAAAGAAGATTCAAGAGCGATTTCCATCCTCAAGGATAGAGTACTGCAACCCGCGGATCGGGTACCCATACCCGTACCTGGATACGGGTACCCATACCCGTACCT